GGGAGGGGGAGAGAAAAATGGCCGAACGGTCCGGTCAGGCAGCGTGGGCAGCCCGGCCAGACGTCTCGGGTGGAGAGGGGAGCGGGTGGTGCACCAGACCAGACCAGCGTCAAGAAGGACAGTCAGGAGGACAGCCCCTCACTGCAAAAGACTACTGGCTGCGAAACGGTTCGATTGGCGTCTTCTGAAAGAAAGCAACATTTTGTATCTTCATTGATCGTTTACGGCGATCTGGACTGCTTTAGATGTCGAATTAGATTGGAACACTTTACTTATCCATCACCAACAATTCCATGGGACCGCCACAACAAACATCTGTCTTTTTAAAAAAATAAATAATTGTGTTGTTTTGGTAATCGTTTTGATATCGATTGTGCACTCTCGTACTCGCGCGGCGCCCACCTGGATGACCTCGCTGGTGTTCTTGACGTAGTAGGGCGTGAGGAAGGCCGTGTGCTGGATGCCGAAGCCGCCCAGGTCCACGATGACGTTGATGCCCGACACCTGCGTCTCCGGGTCGCGCACCATCTGCTCAAGCGCCACGACGTTCAGGCGGAAGAAGTCGTCCACCGTGTGCAGCGCGGTGCTGTAGTTGTCTGTAGGGTTATAAATTTTCCAAAATTCCCGGAATTTTTTTAAAACATTCCCGGAAATTCCCGGAAAAAAAGAAATTTTCCCAAATCTGGAAATTTTTTCGTTTTTCACGGAAATTTTCCAAAACTTTTCCGGGAACTTTCTAGGGCTTCCAACTCTACACTGTAAAAAAAAATAATCATCGAAATAACGACAAATTTGTCGTTAAGTTTTTTAATGGGAAAAGTCGTTACATAACGGCATTGGGTTGTTTTAGAACAACATCGATTGTTCAGTAACAACAAGAGTTGTGCAGGGACAACAAAAGTTGTTCAGGGACAACAAAAGTTGTTCAAGAACGACAAAAGTTGTTCAGGTGGAAAATAAAACTACTGTCCAATTACAACAAAAGTTGTTCAGAAACAACAAATGCTGTTCAGCAGCAACGAAAGTTGTTCAGGAACAATGAAAGTTGTTGAGGAACAGCAAAAGTTGTTTAGGAACAACATTGCTGTTTCGCAACAACCATTGCTGTTTTGCAACAAACTTTGCTGTTTTGCAACAAACTTTGCTGTTTTGCAACAGCTTTTATTGTTCTCGTACAACATTGTTGTTTGTTTACAACACCGTCATCAGTAAGAATGTTGTTTTTCAACAACTCTTTTTTACAGTGTAGTTGTCTGCAGCACAGAGGCAGCCCGCATGTGCACGGTTCAATATGGATTGGCAAACGTTTTCATACTCTACGGAATTATTTATGTAAATTATCACCATGCGATGATGAATAAATGTGTTCCGATTCGCACGCAATTAGATTATTAGTTTGGGGGAGAAATATTTCCAATCTCTTTTCGGAGAGGCCTTGGTGGAATAGCGACCGCCTTTGGCACACTCGCGAAAGAGGCGGGCCTTTTCCATTTTTTATGCCGCGTCCCTCAAGCAGGCAGGCAGGCCGCGCCCGGCAACTCGAGACCGCTCTCTCCACGAACGCGAAGCGAGCCGGCGGGCGGAGCAGGGCCCTGGCCGGGCCGGAATAGGAGAAAAGCCCCATCAAAAGAGATTTATTTGTACGTTTCGCATTTTCGCGTCGTCATCGCGCAGAGAGAGAGATATTGAATCCGCGGGTGCAATTGGCGTACCCTTACAGTGGGGCCCCGCCGCAACCCTTTCAGCCCACCCTTTCCCTCTTTTCCCCTATCCCTTTCCCATACTTCCCCACTCCCATACTTTGAAAATAAATAAAAATAAATGAGGGGGTTCTAATTTTGGCCCAGAAAATGTTTCTTTTATTGTTTTTATTTTTTTTCTCAAATTCTCAACCGAAAAAAAACAACAACATAGACATTAATTACCGATCTTGACGGCGAGCACGCGGCAGCCGGCCTGGTCGCGGCCGTCCAGGACGCCGTGCAGCTCGGCCGCCATCATGCCGCCCAGGCGGTCCACGTGGTCCGCGCGGCACAGGTTGGGGTGCTTCCGCTTCATCTGGTAGTAGCGCTGCACCTGGAGACAGCACGACGGGTCAGCACACTTTCTGCGTCAGAACACTCGGTGTCAGCCACACTCTGTGTCAGCACACTGTCAGCATACCTTGCAATATTCTCGTCGCTAGAAAAAAAAGGAAGAGGAATTTGCGAACTTTTTTCAATTTTGGCGTTTTTGGTCAACGTCTTACTGTAAAATTATTTTGTCAGGATCAATCTTTGTACAGCTGTGGGCGACAAGGAAAAGTTCTGTTTGCCCGCAGATTATAAGTTTGTTATTATTCGCTCGTCAACGAGGCGAATACATTTTTGACAGTGCGCTGAGTGAAAGGCCGGAAGATTCGGACATGGGGGGTGCAAGGAAGGGTGAGGTTGGCCATTGGAAACCGATTTACAGGCAGGTGGTGCTGAAGCTGCTGGGGCTGCGGCAGCGGGTAGTGGTAGTGGAGGGGAGGGGGGCTTGGAAGGGGTTGGTGCGGGCGGCAGTGCGGAAGGGAGGGCTAGGGTGACCGCGCGGCTGGCTTTGCTCAGCTCACCGTCTTGTGGGCCTTGACCACGTTGAACTTCCTGGCGCGGAGGAACCGGATGAGGAAGGCGTCGTCACTGCGCGCTTTGAGCTCCGGCTCCTCTGGCGGGAAAAGAGCACAGATTTAATAAAAAGTTTTTCTTAGTAAAAAAAAAAACACAGAAAAAAAATATAAAAAATTTAAAACATTTCCAGAAAAACGGGGAAAAATGAACTTTTCAGGAAAAAATTAAGAGACACAAGAAAAAAATTATTTGAGTTGAGCATTTCCTGATAGTACTTTCCTGGTATATTAACACTTTCCGTGCGACGGGTCCACACCCGTGGACCCGCAAAAATAGCCCTTCCGTGCGGCGGGTCCACATTGTGGACCCGGGTCCACACGGGTGGACCCGTCGCAAATTTTCCCTGTAGTGCCAAGGGCCTAACCGAGTATTTTATTAGGTTTTAGAGCAAAAAAAATTTTTTCGAAAAAAAAAAACCCTCCGCCTGTGGGTAGATGCGCTTAAAAAGGGCCCCGCACGGAAAGTGTTAAAATTCCCATATGGCATATAGCGGGCTTAACCTCACAACAAAAACTGACTCGGGCCTTGAAGGTTGTGTACATAAGCCGTTTTAGTTACTTTGCGTATATGCGCAGTGACCTAGTTACGCCCTATTACTGTAAGCGCGCTGCAGCAGCGCAGCCCGCGCCGCCCACGCGCCCTCGTCAAGGCCGTCCCCGATGCGCGCCCCGCGGCTTCCGGTGAGCCGCCCGCGCGCTTTACAGCTGCGGGGACACGCGTGGAATAACTTTTTCGCTCGTTTCACTCATTACCGTTACGTTATAGTGTATGGCGGCGAGCCCTTGGGGGGCCTGCCTGCTGCTGTGATCGTGTCGGCTTGGACCACAAGTTCATGAACAAACATGGAAAGCGAGAGAGAGAGAGAGCGAGCCTGTGTCGGAGCCGCGGCGCCCTATCGCACCATTTGGATCTGTCGTGCACGGCCTTGCCGTGTGGTCGTGCCCATGGCAGTGACCCTCCTCACCCTGCACGAGCGCGCGCAGCCGGTCGAGCAGCGCGGGCGTCTGGTCCGGGTCCTCGTGCAGCTCGTCGCGGGCGCGCTGCAGCCAGGCGCCCGTCAGCTGCCAGGGAGGGTCCGGCGCACCGCCCTCCGCGCCCTCGACAGCATCCTGGAACACGTCCTGGACAGCGTCCGCCACGTCCTCGTCGGCCAGGTGGCGCTGCTGCTGCTGGGCCGCCAGAGGCGTGCCGCGCACCACGTCCGGCACCGGCGGCCCGCCCGGCCCGCCGTCCTTGTCGCCCAGCTCGCCAGCGGCCGGGTCCACCGCGGCAGCCGGCGGCCCATCCTGCTGCTGCTGCTGCTGCTTGGTCCTCTTCTTGCTGCCGCCGCGCGTCAGCAGCAGCTTCTTGCCCAGGCCCATGGCGTCCGCGGGCAGCCGGAGCCGCGAGAACAGCGCCGCTGGAAGATAAGACGACAGCTCGGTGTGCTCACTCTGCTCACTACTGCGTAGGAGGACCGCTCCAACAGCAGAGAGGGAGGGAGGATGGTCACGGATAGTCAGTACCAAGGAGTCGACCACTTACATGGAATAATATCTGGAATGGAATAATGTGGAAAACCTGGAATGTTTTTGGTATATCTGGAAAACTTTTGGAGTATTTGGAATACTTTAGGGATATCTGAAATGTTTTGGAATATGTGGAAATTTTTTGTTGGTGCAATTACGGTGGAATGTTTAGAAATTTGTTGGTGGACTACCGGTGGAATATCTGGAATACCGGTGAAATATCTGGAATATTTTTCAGTGTGTACATGGATTATACAAGTGGTACATTTTAGTACATTTCCATGGCACTTTAGAAAACCGTCAGAACCGAGGTCAGAACTGTTTCCAGTTTTTTTCGGTGGGCGTATCATTTTTAATGAACAAAAACACTTTCAAAGGAGCTGAACTGATGCTTGTTTTTTTCTCTTTTTGGTTACGTTTAGGTCGAGGTCCAATGTCATGTTTGTCATAAGCGGGGAGTGCGTCCCCCAATAAGGCATGCACCTCATGTCACTGGCGTGTTAAGTGAAAAGGGCGTAAGTCCAATAATGAAAAGTTCGTGGACTTACGCCCTTATTTCACTTTACGCCGTAGTGATGTCGTCGGCTTACCTGTTCGCTGATGTGGCTCCGTTCGGCGGGCCGGCGCGGCGTGCACTGTGCCACCCAACAGGTTGGCGTGCCGGGCGGGGGCGGCGGCGGGTGTCCCCCCCC